AAATATATTGTTTACTTATTTAATCAAGAGAGAAAAAAATTTCAATTAATTCATTCAAAATTAATGAATATTACACCATTTGATCACATATAATATTACTTTACCTATTTGGATATGACATTTTAGAATAAATAAATTGTCTATATAATATATTTTTTTGATATATTATTATGTTTATAAATATATATTGGGAATATGGTATACTCACATTTAGTGGATGTTCATTACAACATATATTCCCATGTGCTGTAAAATATACAAAAACGTTTAAACATAGTTATATGGGAATTATAAAAAATACAGGAAAAAATGTATTTTTCATATTAAAATGGGATGTTCTATTACTACATTGTGTTATGCTTAATGGAAGACAAATGCATATAAGTCTGCATAGGACACAGTGTCTATTTGTGCTTAATATTTATGTTATTGTGTGTAAATTTTAGAAATTAAATGATTATTCATTAATAAATAGGAGAATGCCTAAAGTTAGTGTAGGGATATATATTCTAAAAAATTTTTGTTCAGGCATGGGAGTGAAAACAGGATAATTTTTTATTAAGAAAATGCAGAATGTCTACAAGTATTATTCCTTGATTAATAGAATTATCACAAGTAGAAATTCCATAAAAATAACATTTAGTAAATGTACATAACGAAATTATCGATTTTGCATATTTTTGCTGATGCTTTATTGATGGATATTACAGTCCAATTAAATATTTTGGAATGACATTATCAAAATGTTTTAAATGGAGATTTGTCACAATTTTGAAATGGACAAATAAAAATGTGTAGCATAAAAAATAAAATATATAGTTCATGCGTAAATAAATTGTGATTGATGAAAACGTGAAAAATCATTATGTTTATCCATTAAAAAACAACTATTGATTTCATTATAATTTTTATTTTAGCACAAAGTTAAATAAATAAGTTATGCATAAAAATTATTATACTACTAATAGTAAGAAAGCACAAAATGGGGAAAAATTTATAATGTTAAAAAAAAGCAGTTAAAAAAAAAAAGAAATATATATATGTACTTAACAATTATTTATAAAATCTGAATAATTTATTTTGTACACTAAAGAATTGGATATTACAAATTATTTTTCCAAAAAACACATAAATGAGTAGGCAGAAAAAGACGTTATTTGATTCATGCATCACCATTACGGAAAAATGAAAATCTATGATTAATAATTACACATATACAGATTTGTATAAATACCTTTTTCTTAATTTTAACAATAGGGAGATGAAATGAATGTATTTAAAATATGGCAAAGAGAAAAAAGAAAAAAAAAGGCGTAATGGTTTTAATATTTTTAGAAAGATTAGGGAAATATGTCAAATAAAACTTATGCGAATTAAACAGTTTATTACAAAACTTAATTTAATTTATACATATGTTTATATATTCAGGGGTAAATAATAAATACTTTGATTAATCTTAAACAATTTAGTAAAAGAAGACAAATCGGAATATTTATAAAGGCTCATAGTGTAGGTATGACAAACTGCACAAATATATTTTACTAAGACAAAAAAAAGAAAAAAAGAAAACAATCAAACCATATCTAGCAATATAAAATGATATAGATTCATGTCAAATTAAATAAAAAAGGAAAGAGAAAAGTGAATCAGAAATGAAATTATAAAATATAAATGATCTAAAAATAATTATTCAATTTAATTTGTAAAAAACATAAAGCATAAATTAAATTTTCCAAAAAATGCTTTAAATTTTTTCGATATACATCAATAAGGGTATTTGTGAAAAGTTTGTAAAAAGCCATCATAAAAATTCTGAATTATATTTAATTTTGTCATTTAGGTACTTTTTAAAATTGATTATAACATTTTATAATAACAATTTTTGTTTTTACAGTATTTTACTTATTTAATTATACTTCATTAATCTGTATGTCTATAATTGTAATGACAATATTTATTCGTACAAATGCGCATATTAGTTATTTTTCAAGTTTCACCCACACTTCTTTCTAGCATATTAATATTTGTAGTTAAATATACTTAAAATATAGGCATATATTTTATGGAAGTTTATTTTTTCATAACTTGGTTTCCCTTGATCTACCAGACGCTATGGTAAGATATAAGCAAAATGAAAATAAACAAGGGGCTCCATTTATTATTCATTTGTGATTTAATTTAAATTTTTTATTCATCATTTTTATGTTTCCTCTTTCTTGTTTTTATGTATATTCTTAAAAACATTTTTTTTCAATAAGCAGAATATATTACGCGTATCAAAATTGTAATGAATATTCTAACATCACATATAATATTCGAACACAAAAATTTCACATGGAACTGTAAGCGAAATGAACTTGTCTTCTTTTAGAATTTATAAAAACGTCTTCTAAATCATCGGATGAAAATTTGCGCGTACATCTTTTATTTACTTTGTGGTTATGTTTTTTTTGTTTACTTTCCATATTGCCCATATGATTTCCGGAGGGGGGGAGCTAATGTGGAAATGATAAATGTATAACATGTGTGTAATGTTACATGCATTAATATGAATCATTTATATAATAAAATGGAAATAATTTTTACACTATAATAACAGAATAAAATGGACATTATCCCAATTATTAAAAGGATTGCTGTAGGAACTCGTATAAACTTGCTATTTAATATGTCAAACTCTTCTGATGTCGTGCTAGAAGTATTACTATTACGTGGAGGTAATATAATATAAGATAAATCTGGTTCATTAGAATTATCACCTCTATTTTCCTGTCCAATTTGATATGTTCCAAAGGATATTTCATCACTGACATGTTCAGAATTTGCCAAATTAGAGAGATGTGTTTCTTGACAGTTTCTTTGTGATGGATCTCCTGATGTAGGTTTTGAACAAGGCCATTTTCGATCCAAATAAGTATCACCGGTTTCTATTCCATGTGCGGTGGATGATGTCTGTTGTATACTAGTTAATGGTGAGGAACTCGTAGAATAGGGTAATTCGTTAATGGTTGTGGTAACATCCTCTAATCGTTTTGTTTCACTTTCTTGGTGCTGTGAAGCAATTATTTTAGACAGTAAGTTTTGTGGTTTGTAGGCGTCCTCACATTTAAAATAGGAAGAACAATCTTCCCAAAAATTACAGCAGAATTCCTCATCTAAATATCTTTTATAGAGTTTACTAATGTTATTAAGGTACTGAATATATAATTTGTTGTCTGCATTGCCACAATCAATTTTATTTTCAATATTATTATAGTTTTGAAAATAACCATATAGTAACTATTCTTCCTTCCAAAGTTCTAATTTATTTTCTTGAATAAAATAGGAACAACCGCAATGCTGCGACTGTTCTCTACAAAGAGGATTCGTTACTTTTTTTAATTTATTCATAACACCAGAGACGTATTTTTTTGTACTTGGGTTTTTAGACATTTTCCATACTTCATTATATAACCAGTGTAAAAAATATGTACAAACATCATTAAAACCTTGCGATTTTTTTTCAGCTATAGTTTTAAAATTTCTTAAAAGTTTTTTGCAAAGTATACTTAAATCATTCTTACCTTCATTTTCAGGTGCTATTTCATTACACTTTATATCAAATTCAGTACTTTCTACATTTTTATTAAAATCATTGTATGTTTCATACAAGTTGAACTCCTGTAATATACTATCCTAAGAGTTGAAAGTGTATACCAATATTAGGAGGTAGAAAAAATATTTTCTTATGATAATTCTATTGCTTTTCGAAAGAAATAGAATACTCTAACGAGTTTATATATATGTATATAATGGTTTCAATAGAAAATAAAATCATACCCAATCTTCATATGTAGCTACCATTTTGCTATAATTTACATGAATTAAGTGAAATAATTCAGACAGAATTCGTATACACGCCGTGGAATATATATAAAGTAATAAAAACTACAAATATATTGTTTAAAAGCCTATAAATAGGCTTTAAAATTAATAAAACATTTTTTGACAAAAGCATTTATCTACATTTCTGCTTTAAATAATATTAAAGTGATGCTAATGCATCAAAAAAAATTATTAAGGAAAAAATTACATAAAATATAGGTACACTTAACAGAAAAAAAAAATGCAATATTGTAAGGAAAATACAAATTCCTCAAATTTTTAAGTACTATATACCCTTTTATAATCATTTTAAAATTGTATTATACATAATTCAAATTTTAGAAGATGCTTATACCAGAAATGCTTCTAGAATTTTGAGGATAATAAAAATATAGATAAAACGCATACATGGCATTAAACTAATAATGTGTGTACTTTATACATTCGAAAATGCTATTTTTGTTAGTGCTCATTCACTTTTCATAAATGGGAAGCTTTATGGCATTTTACGCAGTACCCTTAAAATAACATATATTTTCAATGTTTTTTCATTATTTTAGAAACGATTGTAATTGGAATAAATTTTCTTCTTTAAAGACAAAAATATAAGAGTGAATAAATCATAGATCTTAATTTTATTTTGGGATAATTATTTATTAATTAATGAAGTTTCCACATTCCTATACAAACAACAGAACCTTTCTTTTTACTTTATTTACGAAATCGCTTTAAACGCACAGTTAAATATGTTTTAATAAGAAATATTAACCTCTTTATTTGATTTAAATAGAAAGTTAAATAAATTTAATAGCTTTTGCGATTTTATTGAAATAATGCAGAAAAGAATACAATGAAAAGGTGTGAACAATTCATTTAATTTAATAAAGACATTTTTGAAAAGATTTGACACAACTGTATTGCATATAGCTTTTAATGTTATTTTCATAAAGATTAACTTATTATCTATATTCAATTGCAGTGAAACAGAAACATAGAAAAAATGTAACATGTTGGTGGGTTTATAAATTTATTCTCTAAAAATTACAGAATACTGTCACTGTGTATTACTGTTCTATTTAATATATAGGGCTACGCGGAATTTTGTTAAAAAAAATGTAGAAAAAAGTTCTGGCAACATTGAATGTGTTTACACTATACAGTAACTCAAAAATTAATTGGTGTTCTTAAGAATGAATATGATAGATAAAAAGCATCATAATAATATAATAACTTTATGAAGGTGCGATAAAAACATAAACATTTTTTGCAAGATACTCTTTAAATTTAGATAATTCTTTTATATGTTAACAATTTATAAAGTAATCCAAGAAAAATGAAAGAAGTATATCATATATATTATTCACTTTTAATAATTGTTATTAAAGCTTGAAAAAGTAAATATATATATTAGAAAAAAAAAATTTTTTTTTTTTTTTTATGATAATTTATTAGTCGATGGGGAAAACATATAGTTTCATATTTATGCACATATATTGGTCATTCATAAAGGTAAAACGTGTGTACTTTTTCTATGCATAACATATTGATTTCACATATTATTAATAAAGCTACAATTCATTTTATACAAATTGAGAATCATGTGGACACATATGAAGGGTTCGTTCATATTAATTAAAGAAAACAACCTATACCATTTAAAATATAATTTAGACATTACATTATTGTAACATACTCTTTCTATGTTAATTTAGGACAATTTACTTCTTTCTTTAAGTGTTATATATATGTACTTTTAAATTTACAATATCATTTATTTTAAAAAAATATATGGTTCAAATTTGTAATTAAATAATTGATAGTAAAAAAAATTTTAAAACAACAACAAAAAAAAAAAAAAAAATGCTAAAGAGTAATCATATTCAATAATGATAAATTAAATTTATCATTGCATACATAAACAAAATATATTAAAATTTAAAGGTAATTTGCCTTAAGATAGTTAAATCTGTAAATATATTTTAATGCAATGCATCTTAAAGGAGTATTATAATTCACTTTACATGAATTATTAATTTTCTCATTACACTTTGTGACTATAACTGTCCATTTGTGAATAGGCATACTTATATATATATTTCTATTTTTCTTATCAGCTAAAATGAAAAAATTTTAGATATAAATATAGATATTACACTGACACATATTACTCCACAGTAGTTCATAATTTTTGAGGGACTATTTTGTATATGTCTCTTAACACTATATATTAATAAACGAAAGCTTCTTTTTTAACTACTTTTTTATCTACTTAAATTCACTTATGCATATAAAACTTTTTTAAAATAATCGCTTAATGACACCGCTATTAAGAATACTAAAGTATACAAGAAAAGTAACAGCAAAGTTTCTACGAATTCTTGTAAACTATATTTATTCTTTTCTTTGGAGGATGTTGAGGCATATAGTCTTCAAAGGAATTAGATGATTCTTCGTTAGGTTTTCTATAATGAATATATTTTTTTTTTCTTCTTCCACCTTTTATTCTATAACGTAACCATGATCCAAATGGAGTAAACTAATATACAAATGAATAAGGAAAACGCATTTGTAATTACATTAATTTTTCATTATGAAGAGAAATTGCTTAAAAATATTGATATAAAATATTTACATATAAAGATAAATTTTATTGTACTTTATAATAAAGGAAGAATACGAAAATTGTACCGAGTGCTATAAGGATTACTACCCCGATTCGAAAAGGAAGATTTTGTAATATTGAATTTGCAGATGAAATATCAATAGGAAAAATGTTCTCACCCCAATTTTTCTCACCATTTCCTTGCATATTATTTTTAGATTGAAATTTCTCTGATTTTACTTGGTTGTTGTATGCTCTCGATGTTTTACAATACTCTTCCATTCCTGGCTTTGTTGCTCCATTTGTACAGGCTATTTCTGCTTCTTTGATGTAGCTTTGACGAGCTAGTCCCTGTACTTCTGGAAACAGCGTATAACCATTTTTAACTGTTGATGTGTCTGTAATGTTTTGCCCGGTTATTTTTGCATGTGGATCAGTTAATAGAACTACATTTACTGATTTTCTATTAATTGTTATCTTTTTACCATCTAATCCCTTTTCATTGCTTTGTTTTTTATATATAGATCTTCCGGAATGATGTTGGTTATTTATGTGTGGAATATGCCATCGTTGCTGGCACCTTAAGCCACTCTTTTCAAAATTAGAATTAGTAACTTTTGAGCATGTGAAATATTTAATAAACATATTTTCTTCTGAATTAGGATTAACATGTTGTACATATTTAGAGCTATTATGTTTAATTGATTCTATTATTTCCTTACACTTTTCTTCATTTCTGGATTCCAGCGCAGATAAAAGCTTTTGTGGATCATATGATTCGTCACAATATAAAAAATAACTGGGACATAATTCTGCACCCCAGGAACAGCATTCGTCTTTGTGATTTTTATGCAACAAACTAATATATTTAAGATATGGCATGTATTTATTATTATTCATATTATTACAAATAATTTTATTTTTAATTTCATCATAATTTTTAAAATATTCGTATATATGTTTCATCTCTCTACATTCATTGAATCTACAATTATAATTGAAAAAACAAGGATTATACTTGGTTAATGCTTCATAATTAATTAGCTTAAATGGTTCTGGAGTTTTTTTTTCGTTAAAATTTAGTATTCCTGTATTTGGTTCTACATCACCGTCTTTAGGCTCATGCGATTTTAGAGGTTTCGAGATTTTCCCTGGTTCTATAGTTTTTACATTTATTTTTGATTTTATAGGTTCTCTTGGTTTTAGCAATGTATGAGCTCCATTATTGTCTGATAATACTTCACTTTTCGCAGTATTGTCTGAGGTCTGAGCACTTGCATGCGTCTTATTTTGTCTTGGAGGACGTTGCTGAACATTTAAATAATAATTTTTATCAAAATCTTCTTTTATTAAGTAATTGTTAACTTTAATATTTGCATCAAAAATATCAGAAAATTCTGATATGTCTAAAATATTTTTATCCGTATTTTTATATGATTTACCTAATTTATCATATATCCAAAAATTTAAATATGTACAGCGGTCCCTATGATTTTCTTCTTTTAATTTATTAATATCTGATAATCCTTTTAAATTCCGTACCATTTGTTGACAAATAGTTTTAATATCACCACTTAAACTATCACAATACGTATAAATATAATTCTGGTCATTCAGATTAGAACCATCATTTCTAACATCATCATTAACATCATTGCTTAATTCCTTATATATTGCGGAAGGAGTTAAATCATTGATAACATTTTCCTAAGAAAAAAAATATATTATTATATAAATCATAAATTTTAAAAATAATATTTAATTATAATGAAAAGAAAATAAGATGCTACATCAATGCATTATAAAAAAGTATATAAATAGATAAAATAACAAACATATTCACTTTTTAAATAATCAGTGTATTCTACATAATCCGGTGATTTTTCTCGTCTTATGTAACTTTCTTCATTATTTCCCTGTAATGAGCTTGAGGCGTCTGCACTTTTTGGTTTTTCAGAATAAGAACTATAAATATTGCACTTTTCTTTTAATAATATTAATGAACTTTCATCATTAATTTTTTTTCTAAAAAGTTCTAATTCATTGTTATATCTGTGTGATAATCCATGTTTTCTATCTTCTTCTAATTTCTTATATAAACTGAAAATATACGATATATATGTACAATATGACTTTTTATTTTCCGCATAAGTTGATAATAAAGCTTTTATATGATCATAGTATTCTAAAAAATCATATAATAGTTTTTTATTTTTTAATTCATCCTTAGAAATGACTATTTTAATTTCATCTTTACACAAATATTTATTATCCTCATTTTTTAAATGATTTTTATATAAAATTTCACTTATTTTATTGTAAATCCAAGCAACATCAGGAAATGTTATTCTCTCTTGGGCTATTTTACCATACAACCAATAATTAACATAATCACAACATTTTCCTTTGTATTGTTCTGAGAATGAACAAATTTTATCCCATTGATTAAATATGCGCTCAATACGGTGACAAAGACCACGTAACTTTTCTTTTCCCTGTTCATCACATATTTCAGAAGTAGCTCCGTTTTTCACTTCTTCTCCATCTAATGATGAATAGAATTTATGTAATTCTGTTTTTTGGAGAGTTGCGCTCTATGAATAAAAATAACATTATAGTTCGTTATGTATTTATTTCTAAAATAAAATTGTTACTATTATGAGAAAAAATAATTTACAAAAATAAAAATCTAAAAAATTTCATATTTGTAATACCATAGAACATACCTGTCCTACAAATTCATCAAAGTGAAACGCTTCATTTTTACTCATTTTTATTAAATGAAAAGTAATTTTTTTATATTTACGTATAGATAAAACCGAGAATAATCCATTGATGTATCATGTTGTATTTTTATTCTAAATTAACATAGAAAAAAAAGTATAAATTATCTTCTTTTATGTTTAAATCATATTAATATTATACATATTGTGATAAGTCTTTATAAATACAAAAGAAGTACGATAGATATGCTTTTTTAATAATATGTATAAACGAAGATATATTGTAGTATATTATAATAAAATTTATATATATGCATGTAAGCTTTATATTTTTATCATAAAAGTTTATAATGTAGAAAATGAATTTTTTAAAACATATTCATATTGTGCAAATTGTTCTATCATTTTTTTTAATAATAGCTCTTACATAGAATAATACTGTTTATGATTATCCTTATCATAGTTGCAGAAGAAATAATAATTTTTTTTTCCATCTTTCATATACACAATAATTCAGCTTCTATAGACAATAATAAAATTTACAAAATTTCTTTGTTTTTGTTAATATTACATAGTAGCATATTAGAAATAATTTTGGAATGCGTGGAGATTTAGACTTGTTAAAACTTATAAATAATATATTTTATTAAAAAATAATACGATATATGAAATATAAGTTGTTTAACTTAAATGATAAAATAATTGAAATTGAAAATTAATTATGCTACTAATTGTATATTTTTATAAATATCTTATATTTTTTAAAACACATAAGCAGATAGTATATTGTTTTAATATAGGAGGAGAATATTGTTTTTTTTATTAAAGAACACCGAACCCTTAGTATAAATAAAAATATCACATTATATTTAAATATATAAAAATAAAATAAGACAATAAAATGTTAGAAAATATTTTTGATAGAAAAGAAAACAAAAGAAAATATTAAAAAGAATCATTTAAATTAGATGATAGGAAAATAACAGAAATAATTATATACAAATTCTGAAGCACATAAAATGGAAACGAATATAAAAATTAACTTGTATGCATATTATTCTTATATATTAAGATTTTAATTATTTGCAGTTATTTATAATTCACATTTTACTCTCATTATCTAGTGAAACAATAGCAACAGATTAAATACTGATCATTTGGTTCATACCTTTTCTTTTTGAACAGATTTTTGTAAATAATAACGCCACAATTCAAGAATTAAATAAAATATAAGTTAATTTTTATTTTCACTTTATGTAAAATATTGCATTTCAAATGTTTTCAAAATGTTGCATAATAATAGTCGAGTGATTTTTTTTTTCTTTAAACATATATATATATATTTAGTGATGATTAAATAAATTAAAATAAGAATACAATTATACAATACCATGGAAAATTTGACCATATCATTAATTTAAAGTATACGAATTCCTCATTTTAAATATTCTGTGCCAATAATATAATAAACTCATCAAACAATGAGTTTTTTTTTTCGTAATAATATCTATCATTTCATTGTTTTTATATAGGAAAAATATATGGGATTAAAAAATTAACATAATCTAAATTTATTTTTTCTCATTACGAATTATCTATTTGTTTTATTTAGTAGATTTTTTATTTGCGGCTTCATTTGGAAATATATAAAGGAATAGTTATTATTAAAGATAATATATTCTACCATGACAATTAAAATATTTTTTATTTTAATTTTCGCAAATATATATCTAGATATACATATATTTGCCAACATTTTCCTAATAAAATTTACATACACCCAATATTTAACATAATAGATTAAATTATGTAATCATATATTTACCAAATTTTTCTTTATATTATTTAAGCTTCACTAGAACGTGTTAATCTAATAAACAGTATAATGCTGAATAAAATGTTTGTGCCTTGTGGTTCATAACACATTTAATAGTTTTTTAACAAATTCATAACTAGACTTACATTAGTCGTATTTATTATTATGATTTTTTTTTTTTTTTTTTTTGCTATTATAATTAGACAAGGGTGTTAACTCAGTGGTGTTTAAATAATACATATCATTATATATATTATACCATAGGATGTATATACATAAGTATCATATATATTATAGAAGATATATTACATTAATATTTTCCTGAGTTGTTTGCTACAGTAATGGGTAATAGTTTACACAAGTTATATTATTTGTAATTATTTCATATTACTTCACGAAATAATTTTAATACAGTGTATTCAATGGGGGTTTTTATTAATCTTAACATATTTAGTGAATTTTACATTGTGCAATAACAGAAAAATTACTGATGAATGATAACATTTTTTTATAAAAGAAAAAAGTTTCAAATTGAATATACATTAAACATAATAAGAATAAGTTATTTCTAAGAGTAGTGCGTTCTATGATATATTTGTTACATTACGCTTTATAAACAATTTTCAAGGGTTATTTGCTCCATTCGTATTTTTGCATTATCAGTACTAAACTTTTCTTTACTGCGAATGTCCGACAATGGTAAAGTGAGAAGTTTGAACAGTATATTTAATGTTGATTATGTAGTATGAGCATACTTGAAATAATATTTATAATTTTTATCACTGTAAATTAAATAAGCTTCAAGTTGATAGAATTACATGTTAAGTGATAAAGAAAAACATGTTCAAACCAAGAAAAAATTATCACTATAAAATATAGTTATTAATATGGTAAATTGATTATTTTATAGTATATATATACATATATAGCAGAAATTTTCCAAAACAAATAAGTCTTTTATTTCAAGAAGACTTTTATACATTCATATTTATCTTTTTTCTATTATAATGTATTAATAAAATATGTTATGAATTACTTATATTATATCCCGTGAACCATGGCTACGTATCTAGGTGCTTATTCTATTTTCCTTATTATATAGTCGTATGAATTTAAAATTAGTTTATCCTTTGTTTGATATTTAAAAGAACTGAGTAATTGTAATACTTTTTTCCTTTGAACATATTTATATCATTATATATATGTGAATATATAGTAACTTAGATTAGTTTGAAGACAAATGTAGCATATTTACAATGTTATATATTGTAGAAAATAGCAGTGAAAGAAAATTTTATTATTTATATAAAAAAGACGTGTGGACAAACGAAAAACTATACAAATTTTTTTTTTTCTTCATTCTCTCTTTTACAGTAATATTACTGATTATGGAAGGTTTCTTTTTTTTGTTTGTTTCCATCTTTTTGTTTGTCCTTTGTTGCCGTCTCTATGTACTATTATTACTTGTCCGTATGGTGTCTTTTGTTAATCTTTTCTTTTTTCTTTTTCCTTCTAATTTATACTATTATTGCTTGTTATGTGAGTATATTCTTTTTATATATATTTCTTTTTGTTACTTCCCTCGAATGTGCATTTTTGTTACATTTTCTATGCTATTTCTTCATTGGATCTTTTTCCAGTGTGTCCTTTTTTGTTAGATTGTCCTCATTACGGATCATTACTGCTCCTAAAATTTTTGATTTTTCTCTAAATTCATACATTAAGTACTCAAAGCCTGTTCTAATCATGGATTATATTACATCCAAGTCTTCTTTAGTATTACATTTTGAATTATCTAATAAATCCAATTCATATATTACCTTCTTATGCATATGATTTATAAACGAAAACTATACTTCATTTAATTTTACTTTTTAGTCTGGTTCTTCCATGTCATTTATTTTAACGTAATAACTTTTTTCTATATAATAAACTTCATATATCAATTTTTTGTGACACACATGCATACAATTCTTTTACATTTTTAACCTCTGGAAAGTGTGATTTTATGACTTGGGCGTAAGATGGAGTTTTTCCTGTATTTTCCAAATGTATAAGTGAACTGAGTAGTTTATTTTCATCTACAACTTCTGCAATTATTCCTTAAAATTGATGCTTTGGTAAATCTTGAGAAGTATTTTGCTTACACAGTGAGATATATATAGATGTTCTGAAAGAAGGGAAAATTGTGTCATGAATTTTACATAATTTTCAAAACTTTTCCTAATACAGAAATATTTGCTACAAATTCCGTAATGGTTACATTTATTAAAGTTCCTCTTATTATATGTATTCTCACACGAATGTAGTGAGGAAATCTAAATAACATAACATGTAAACAGGTTTTGGAAAAAAATAAATTTTACTTTAAATCTAAGGAAAAATTATATTTCCATACTAACAAAAGTGAAGATATAAGATTTTAAACAAGAGTTTTCATGTTTACTTTTCCATTTTTAAACTTTGAAGTTAGGGTAGAAATTACAGATTTGCCTCCATATTTTTTTCCCTTACCTGTGCGTTCCTCATTATATTGGGTATAATGTAGAAAAAATTATAAAAATTCTTCTCTATTAATGTAATATTTCGACTTATTATATAGGAATAATTTCGAGGAGGAATAATTTAAATATTACAATAATATTTTTATTGGTAGCAAAAAGAAAAATCCTCTAATTATATTATAAGCAACATGCACACCTTTGTAACTATAATCTTGATTCAATTTCTGAGAAATTTCTTACGAAAAAGAATCAATTATAATAAGCATAAGAACAATAATATATCACTTTTTGCATATATTTATGAGATAAACAAATTTTAATTAAAATTTTTATTACAATATATATATGTATATGCAACCAATTTATTCATTGATTTTTAAGCAGAATTGACATTACTTTAATAGATTGTTAAGAAGATTAATCTAGTATTTAAGAAAAAAAAAAATATATATATATAATTTAATTATATTGTTATTTTTGTTTTTTAAAAATTGTGCAAAATATTTTCTGAAGTTATTATAATAGTACGGTTAGCTAAATTAAAATCTATCGCAAGCACATACATTTCCTTCTAATAGGATGGTAAATTTATTGCATTATTTAGAATGACAAATTGCATTAAATATTCAATGTATCCAAATAATAATAAGCATGGAATCGTCGTATTTATTAACCTCATATGTTCTTGATATAATTTGGTTTCTAAATAATTGAAAACTTCTGAACAA